ACTTTAGTTCCACAGCAAAACTCGCCTCAGAACATATTCAATAGGCAGGAGTTATGTACAGCAGAAGGTAGAAAACTGGGCTTGGGTCTGCTGTGCGGCCTTAGGCAAATTACTTAACCTCCCTGGGCCTCGGTTTGTTCATTTGTCAAATGAGGGTAACATTACCTAGGCTGAGGCCTCAGAAAGTTGCCGCAAGGATTCAATTATATAATAGTTGTAGAAAACGCTTTGGAAGGTCTGAGGCACTCTGCAGATGCCTTCCCTGATTATTATTCAGCTCCCAGTCCCTGGGAATTCACTGAAACAGGGCTTGCCATGCCTGAATTTTAACATTGTAACCAACCTAAAAAAATAAGAATTTCCTTTATACTGATGTGATTAGAACTGATTTCTGAACGGCGTCGCAAAGCAAGTCATTTGCAGCCTCTCCTCCATTAGACTGAAAAAGAAACGAAACGCAAGTGTTTACGTAACTGCTAGAAGCCTGTTTCTCTGTCAAGCCGGCGGAGGTGGAGTTTCTTCTGGGAGGCTGCTTCTGGCTCCCTTGACTTCAGCAGGGCTTGGCGTCAGACGGAAGGATTTTAAGTCAAAACACACATGGCTATAGGGAATACGATGAGTCATGTTCCGCCGGGGCTGAGCGGCTCCGGGGAATCAGCCGCAATAATGAATGAGAATGAACGCCTCCTCCAGGCCTGCGCCACCGCCTCCTCAGCCCAAGGCCAGGTTCACGGTTTTAATCATCAGTGTCTCCGCACAGCCCCGCTTGGAGGGGCACGGAGGGAGCAGTTTGCACATTACACATTCATAGAGGCGCAGCCACTCATTACAGTCATCCTCAGGCTCTGCCCTAATGAGACTCAGGAACAAGGCTTTAAATGTCACGATGCTTTTGTGTCTTTTCCTGATGGAAGAACTACACGATGATGCTGGTGATGCAGCCGGTTTCAGAGGAACCAGGGCGGGGGCCTCACACGCAAACCCCGAAATGACGACCATCTCCAAGGCCCCCAGACGTCTTAGAGGGTTCTGAGTGAATGAGCCCCTTCAGATTCCCTTTGGGGTATTTATTTCCGGACCTCAACCCTAACATCTCTAAACTGTTTGCATCTGTCTGGCTAGCATCCACCAGCTGAAGTAGGACTTGGGTCTTTTAACAATAACAAGGAGATTAAAATCCTGGGGGTGTTTTTCCCTACAATGGTGAATCCCTTTCTTCTAAACTCGGCTTCATTACTCTTTATTTTAGCCAAAAGTCAAGAAGCATCCATGTATTAAAAGAGACAGAGAGTCAGTTAATGGGCACATTCTGGTGCCAAACTGCCTGGGTTTGCACCTGCCTCTTCCTCTTCCTAGCTGTGGAGCCTCAAGCTATTTATTTATTGTCTTCATGCCTCTGCTCTCTCCTCTATAAAACAGAAATCATAATAGCAGGTACCTCACAGGGTTTTGTGTGACTTCAGTCAGAACAATAAGCATTCAATAAATATAGTGCTATTATCATTAAGACATATTTATTGAACTTTTACTTTCCCCAAGACTTACATCAGGCACCAACAATACAAAGCAAATAAAATTCAAGGGCTGTTCATGTGGAAACTAGTGAGGAAAATATCTATACACATTGCATAGGCTGTTTTGCATTCCTATAAAGGAAGACCCGAGACTGCGTAATTTATAAAGAAAAGAGGTTTAATTGTCTCCCGGTTCTGCAGGCTGTGCAAGCATGTTACCAACACCTGCTTAGCTTCTGGTGAGGACCTCAGGAAGCTTACAGTCCTGGTGGAAGGCAAGTAAGTGCAGGCATGTCACATGGCAGGAGTGGGAGCAGGTTTGGGCAGTCAGACTTTTAAATAAGCAGATCTCACATGAACTGAGGGAGAACTCACTTGTTACCAAGGGGATGGTGCTAAACCATTCACAAGGGATCCACCTCCATGATTCAGTCCCCCTGGCCTCAACTCCAACATTGGGGGTTACATCACTACATGAGATTTGGATGGGGACAAACATCTAAACCATATCACACATCGTAGCAGGCTGTGATAAATGGGAAGACAAGGGACCAGTGGCTGGAGAGAGACCATGATTAGTGTTGCATAGGAGGGCTGGAGATTTTAGATAGCAGGGAACCTTTGAACTTGAGTGTCTAAGATGGACAGAAACTGACCAGGAAAAGATTGGAAGCAGCTGAGTGTGGTGGCTCATGCCTGTAATCCCAGCACTTTTGGAAACTGAGGCAAGAGGATTCCTTGAGCCAAGGAGTGCAAAACCAGCCTGGGCATCATGTAGAGATCCCATCTCTACAAAAATTAATAATAATAAAAATTAACCAGATGTGGCGGCATGCATCTGTAGTCCCTGCTACTCAGGAGGCTGAGGCAGGAGGATCACTTGAACCCAGAAGATTGAGGCTGCAGTGAGCCATGTTCACAGCACTGCACTCCAGCCTGCAGCCTGGGCAATTGAGCAAGATCCTGTCTCAAAGTAAAACAAAGAAAGAATAGAAGCATTTGCTTCATCTCAATCTCTCAGCAAGTCTGCAGCTTTACACAGAGCTTTCTTCAGTTGTCCAAAGAGAAGAGCAGGCTGATCCCGGACCCTGAACATGACCCACAGGATATGTGGATGTTTTAGAGCCTTATCTCTGTGTCTGGATCCTGTCCCCACAACTGTGCTGCTCCAGAAGACACTACATGCTCCAGGAGTTTACTATGTCTCTTGCATCTGAAGATAACAAATCAAGTGAAAGAAGGGGTCTTCTTTTTTTTAAGAGAGAGAGAGAGAAAGGGATCAAACACTTGCCAGAGGCCAAGACATTCTTTGTTTTTAGGATATTCCTGATCTTGGGGCTTTGGAATTAAGTTCTCATAGCTTTCATCAAGTAGTCACCATAGGACACTCAGCTAATGGCCTTTCAGAATTTCTTGGATGAAGAAAGACAAAGTGGCAAAACGAAGGGTATGTGATCATGAGAATAGCTGATGTTTATTAAGCTGACTATACGTCACACCGTTTACAATTACTATATCTTTACACTTAACCTATTGGGAATATTATATGTTGAACTATGTTAACTTGCCATTTTTCAATTTAGAAAATGATCGAATATAGCAAGTTCACGTGGTTCGAGCTAATATCATTACCATTCTGGTGATGGGGAAACTGCAGCTTAGAGAGGGTTATGAATAGACGCAAGTGAACTGTGGTCAGATGATCTGGGTTTGATTTCTGGTGACACCACTTAATAATAGTTTCTACCCTCATAAGGATGTTGGGGGGCAGTGGTTGTTAAATAGGATATGCTAATAAATAAGTGCCTAGCACGTTTTGAGATTGCAACATTCTTTTTTCTATACCAACTGGCCCTTGATCAAAGGAGAGGAAAAAATAAGTAGACTAATCCCCATTCCCAGGCAGTCAGAGGGTTAAGGGTGGGTGCTGGGCCTCCTGATATCCTGCGTTGACTACCAGGCCTGGCCCTGTTGTCCCTAGCTCCCAATATCTGGTAAGACAGAAGCATTTAAATGATCAGACTCTGAAAAGGAGGATTCAGTGATGAGTAGAACATAGAGCAGTGACTGGGTTTGAAATCAGGAAACTGGGGACAGAGGTCCTTTGTTGAGTTTCTGGAGACTTGGGATGACACTCTCAGTTTTGCTTGAAGGGATCTCTAAGAAGGCAACTAAAACTACTGGGGTGGAGCCTAAGAGAAACAGAGACAAAAGAGAAACTGTCAAGAGTATCCATTGGTTGTATCATTGATCACCATTTCCCAGGAGCCATGGAAATGGGAAGGCTTTCCAAGAGGCCCTCAAAAAGCTTCCTCTACTGCTGCCTTCTCTTTGCTACCCTGGGGGCTAGCTACAAAGCAGAGCCAGGCACCAGGTTAGTGGTGCTAGACAGTTACAGGAAATATCAACCCCTCATCAGTATTAAGATTCCGGCTTCCCCTTATAGTCTCACTCTTTTATTCTACTCAAAACCATGATTAGTTGAGTGAAATAAATTTAAACTTGAGAATTTGACAATCATCTTTTAAATAAGTGGAATCCCCATTGAACAAAACTAAATCCAACTGGGTATTGCTGGAACCAATTCTGTAAGTTGGGTCTTACACAGAGTACATGGTGAATGTGTTCTCCCTTCCAGCCTCCTACCTGCACCATGAATCTTCCATGGAAACAATTATCTCCTTCAAGAACCAGCATGACTTGCTGGGCACAGTGGCTCACGCCTGTAACCCATCACTTTGTGAGGCCAAGGTGCCCAGATCACGAGGTCGGGAGATAGATGGAGACCATCCTGACAAACATGGTGAAACCCCGGCTCTACTAAAAATACAAAAATTAGCTGGGTATGGAAGTGCATGCCTGCAATCCCCGCTACTTGGGAGGAGAATCACTTGAACCCAGGAGGTAGAGGTTGCAGTGAGCTGAGATCATGCCACTGCACTCCAACCTGGCGACAAAGCTAGACTCCGTCTCAAAAAAAAAAAAAAAGAACCACCATGACTGATGGAAGTTTGAACTATGGGCGCAAAATCCAGCAAGATGGGTATGGACCTTCCTACGTTCAGATTTGCCTCATTTTGTGCTTATCATTACTCATGTAATTACTTGTTACCATCAACTCAAACCAAAACCACAGAGCTTTTTGAAAGGGGGTTGACAAGGAAGAGGTACTTGTTTAGGGACCCCTCTTACCTCATCTTGGCCCCACATAGGCCTGTCCCTCCATAGCTGCATCTCAAACCTCAGACCTTAGCCTGCCATGAGCACCAACCACATTGAAATCTCAGTTTCTTGAAGCCCTGCTCTCTGATAGAATCAATCTGTAATAATGAGAGAACACGCTATTTGGGTAACCTTCCACTCATGCATTTATCCATTCATTTGCTCATTCATCAAATGTTTATTGAACTGATTGAATTATTCAGAAAGTAATGGTGCTGTGCTCTCTGCCCTCTTAGAGTTCACAGCCTAGTGGCTGGGACTGAGGGTGGGTGCATTGAGGGGGGCAGGGGCAGGCAAGTGAAGGAGGCATACACATACACCCTTGATGGATAAAACAGAATAAAACATGTTTTCGACAGAGGCACAAGGAAAAGGCCAAGAGGGAAGAGGAGCAATTAATTCTCCAAAAAGTTCAAGACAGCCTTCATGGATATAGTGACATTTGAGCAAGACCTTGAAGAAGCATTTCAGGAGGAAGAAAGGTGAGTAAGAACTTGCTCTCCTGAGGGAAAGGACTGAGCAAGATACAGACTGGGGAGGAAGGAGGTTCACTGGGGGAAAGAGTTTGGTTTGCCACAAGGACAGCAGCCAACTTTTACTGAAGGTTCACCTTGCTCCAAGCACAGGGCTAAGTGCTTTACATTAATTAAAACATGCAATCCCTATAATAATGAGATAGGCACCCTCATTGTTCGCACTTGACAGAGTGGGAAACTGAAGGCCCCAAAGATCTAGCAACTTTCCCAAGCTTGGATGTTTATTAAAGTGAGGAGCAGAGACCCCCGCAGGTAGTCTGCCTTCCTGACCACACCCCACATTGCCCACGAGGATTGTGTAGAGAAAGTCAAGCAAGGCTGGAGTCTTGACAGACACTGCCTGGAATGCAGATGAGGGGGTTTGGGCTTCATTGTCAAATTTTCTAAGGAAAGAAAGGAAATATATGACAACAGGAGGAAAACAACTGGGGCAGCTGTGTGGAGAATGAATTTGCATCTTAATGAGAACATTTAACGCCTCAAGCCAGAGCTTCTAAAGAAGGGAAATTCAGACTTTCAGGTCTTCTAAAGAGGTTAGAGACTTCCAGATAAATGGAGGGCAGGCCCAGATCAGCTTAACGACCCTTCACACATCCTGGGCAGGTGGTTCTCTACTGGATAGGAACCCACCCCACCCCCTGCTGCCAAAAAGTTATCTAGATCAATCTTCTCTTTCTACAGATAAGAACAGAGAAACCTGCATTGTTTTGCCCCAAATCCCACAGCTGGAATGTGGCTGAACAGAGGTCCAAGTACACTTCTCTATCTCCGAGTCCTGCATTTCTTCCACAGCATGGCCCAGGTTTACACGCCCCAGTATTTAAACCAGCACAAGTGCACCAGCGGACTGCTCCACAGCCACACCTCCAACCTTCAGCCCAAGGAGCACAGCCAGCCCTGGAGGAGCTGCAGCTCAAGATGTTGATGCTGCAAACAGGGAGATGCTGTGGTCAACCTTGACTGTCCTCCCAAACTACTGAAGACGCACTCCCCTGCAGTCTGGCTCTACCTCCCACTCTCATTGGGCCTTTTTCTTTTTCTTTTCTTTTCTTTCTTTCTTTCTTTTTTTCTTTCTTGTCTGCAAAGCTTAGACCAAAGTAAGTAATCTAGAAATATCCAGAAAAGAGTTAATTAAAACAACTCAGGTTGAGAAGGCAGATGCAGAAGATCAAGGAGCTTCTGAAGTTGACACAGGACTCTAAGAGGGAGAAATGAATCTCAAGACCGCTGTGGGACATGTGCTCCTGCAACTTCACAATTGATCTCGTAGAGCTATTGCCTTACACATAATTGCTCCAAATTAGGTGTTGCATTTTATTGCATTAAAGCCTTGCTAACTTGTTATTCGTGCAATTTTAAGGGGGAAAAAAGCCAGACCGATTTCAGCTCTGTGCTCCTCTCCATGCCAATCTCTCATTCATTAGCTGCATTGTCTCAAGAGGAGAGTAAGGAGTACTTCCAGCAGAGCAGCCACTTTTCCTGGAATCGTTCAACTTTCTGCAGATTTGATGAGAGTAAATCCCACTAGAATGTCCCTCCATTAGCTGAGACCATGGCTACCTGAGCTGAAAGAGGAAGATTGGGGCTGTTAAACGGGAGTGAGGGATAGTCCTGGCTGCCAGCACACAGGCAGTCAGGAGAGGCAAATGCAGTCATACCTGGGTGGCAGCCTGTCTAGTGACACTTGAAACCAGGAATGTGGCAAAACTGGTGGTGCTCCTGGTGGCTAGAGAGATAGTAACAGGACCCATTTTTCCAGAGGAAGGCTCTGTTCATATCTAAGTCAGGTGTGAGAATCCAAAAAAGTCCAGCCAAGTGGGTTTTTGACCACTACCTGTTTAGAACCCTTCAATGGCCAGCTGCTGCCCTAGATTAACTCCCAGTCCGGATCACTGCCCCCGCCCCCTCCCGCCGCCAGTCCCTGCAGGGCCAAGCTTTGCTTGTCTCCCAAGTCCTGCTCTCTTTCACTCTCATCTCTGCCTTCTGTTCCTCAATTATGTGGGGCTTTCGACTGCCCCCAGAACCTTTGCACATTCCACTGACTCTGCATGGAATGTGGCTTCCTGCCCCTTCTACTTAGCTTCTAATCACAGTCTGTAGTCCTTACTTTCTTCATCATTTCCTAATAGAAATTATCCCTGACACCCCAGGTTAAAGTAGGTTCCTTTTTCATAGACTCTCAAAGAACCTAATTTCTTACTGTATTTACTATAAATTCTTATTTTTTGCATTCTTGATGCTCTGACATTAGGAGCCTTGATCCTGGCGAGACTGCCCCTCCAAGGCCAGCTGACCTCTACTCCCCTGTGAGCAGGCCTTTAATACACAAACCAAGAAATGCACAGCCCACACCTGTAACTATCTCCTTTACCAAACTCTCAAGCCATGCCAACATTACCCTACCCTAAACCATCCCAGGGCCAGCTACGGGACAACCAGAGACCCCCTCTAGAGCTCAGACCCCCCAGATTATTCCAACTATCCAATCCCAAGCTTACTCAGTGTGCCTATTCTGCCTCACCCATTCCCTCCCATGAAAAGCCAATAAAGGCTCAGGGGCTTGCTCTGCCCTTCCCCATCTCTGCCTCTTGACCCATCCTGGCCCTCCCCGATGTGGCCCTGCATAGCATGGCATGGTGTGGTGTGCCTCCTGTTTCTAGGAATCAGTGAGTATAAACTTCTTTCTTCTTAACAATCATTTCTGTGTCTGCACATCTTACCATACTCGTTTAAAACAAATACTGGGTGCACCTTAATACATGTACTCTCATAGGGCTTTCCTGGGTTATTCCTAGGATTTTTTTATGTCTGACCCTCTAGATTGTAAGCTCCTTGAAAGAAGGTTCCATATCTGTCAGTGCTGACGTGTGTGTGTGTGGGTGTGTGTTTTGTGTGTGTATGTGTGTGATGGAGCCTCCCTCTATCACCCAGGCTGGAGTGCAGTGGAGCAATCTCAGTTCACTGCAACTGCCACCTCCAGGGCTCAAGCAATTCTCTGGCCTCAGCCTCCCAAGTAGCTGAGACTACAGGGGTGTGCCACCACACCCAGCTGATTTTTTTTTTTCTATTTTTAGTAGAGATGGGGTTTCACCATGTTGGCCAGGCTGGTCTCAAACTCCTGACCTCAGGTGATCCATTCGCCTCGACCTTCCAAAGTGCTGGGATTACAGGCATGAGCCACAACACCCAGCCTATGCTGACTTTTTATCCCAGTACCCAGCACTGGGGGGATGCTCTATTAAAAAAAAAAAAAAATCCCAGTGCCCTGAGGAGAACCAGCAGCACTGCACAGGAAAGGTGAGGTCGCGGCCTGCAGTCACAGACTAGATGACACAACTTGCATGGGAACAGGTAGCTGGCACCCAGGTAGGTGGGTATCCAGCACTCCTCTAAGACGGGGGAGACGCCAGGTGAATGACAGTCAGACCAGCTCTGGACTCCATGGGCTGGAGAGATAAGCCCAGTGCCAATGAGGTCTAGCTCACTCGTAGGCAGGTTAAAGGCATCTGTGACTGGTTGAGAGGGTCGGTGGGGAGCTTGGAGAGACAGGGCTAGTCAAACTGACTGGTGAATCAGTTAGCATTTTAGCATACTCACCCTGAGAGAGCCTCAACAGGCCACTCACTTTACTTGCAGATCTCTACCATGTAGACAACGTGAGGATCGTAAAATAACACATGAGGGAGGGGGCAAAACATGGGGGCTCCACCTGGCCAAGGAGAAAGTCACGAGTGCTCAGGACTTTACTTTGACTACTTGTCTGGAAGAAGGAGTCTGTGTTCTCAGCACACCTTTAAGATACTGCAGAATACATCCATTGAAGCCCAAGGGCACTTAGAAACACAGTCTGTGTGATGGTTGACATGGCTGTAACTGTAAAATAACAGCAGTGATAGCCAACCCCCAGGGCTTAATCACAGGATGCCCGAGTGTCACTGCTTCTTCTCGCTTTCTCTTTAAAATGCGTCACAGAAGCTAATCATACATCCTGAGCATTGTGCTGGAAGCCTCTGCTCTGCTCTCTGACACAAGCATGTCCAATTAGAAGCCCAGCATCCAGCACCTCTGACCCTATCCGTGGGAGGCAGACTCCTGAGCCCTGGATTCTATTTCCAGCCTCCGCAATGCTGAGCCGGGTGAGGTGACGCATCACCTCGCCTGGTGTTTTCTAATTGACAGCCTGAGAGCATCGCTTCAAGTGTTCCTTCCTCCAAGCCCAATTAAGTAGTTTCCTTCTCCCAGAAGGCAAGTTTTAAAAAATTCTCTTTTAACTCCATTCTCCATTCTCATTCTCCAACTCCTAACCATGTCCCCATGGGCAAGCACACTCATATGTTTAATGTGTACATTTTTGCTTGCTTATATTCTTGCAAAATGGGCTTTGTTGTTCTGTGCGTGTGTATCTTTAATTTACGTACATTGTATTGTGTTAAATATCTCCTTCCATTTCTTGTATTTTTGTAACTCATCACTATGCCGCTAAGGTTTATCCAAGTTGCCAGGTGTGAATCTAATCAGCACGGTGTAGGTATGAATGCCCCGTACCTTACTGGCCACTGACCCGGTGATGGCTGCTGCATTTGCCTCCAACACCGCCTCACTGCGAACACTGTTGCAGAAGGTATCCCTGTGTGTATCCATTAACATCTGTGCGTATTCTTATTTTTCTAAATGCCAGATTGTTCTCCAAAGGCTCTTGAGGGCTTCTCTATCCTCACATGCCCATCCTTGCCAACTGGTGGCATTTTCCAGCCTCCTACTTTTTGCCAAACTTATATGTGTAAAGTGATATCTCGTTATTTTATTTTGCATTTATTTGATTACTAATGAGTTTGAACAAGCCTCCATATGCTTGAAGGCCTTTGGACTTCCTCTTCTGGTTAGTCTGTTTGTATCCTTTGACTGTTTTTCTTTTGTGGCTGATGTCTTGTAGAGTCTAGATTTAAATCCCTTGTCAGTTTTAAATACTTCAACCATTTTATCCCATTATGCCATCTATTAACTTTGCTTATGGTGTCCTTTGTTGAACAGAAATTTGCAATTTGGATATTATCAAAATAATCATTTTTTATCCCAAAATATTCATTTGAGATTTTTTATTTTAAAAGATTTCCTCTACCACTGTGGCACAAAAATATTCTATATTCTTTTACTACATATGAGGTTTATAGTTTTACTATCTTTATTTAGGTCTCTAATCCCTGTAAAGGCCTATCTCTGGTTGTGGTATGATTAGAAATCCAGTTTTATTTTTCTCCTTAAAGTGAGCCACTTTTCCCAATCTCAACTACTAAGTTGTCAGTCAATTCCCTATTGATCTGTGGTGTTACATGTATTGTACACAAAGTTCTGTATATTCATGGGCTCTCTCTCTGCTCTCCATTGTATCCCATTGGTCTCTATATCTGCTATTGAACATATGCTATACTTTTTTATTATAATGACTTTGTAGGTTAATTTCTGTAAAGGTTAGTATATACTCAATATTTTTAAGGCTAACTTGGATGCCTTGGATCTTCCTTCTCTCCAAATAAGTTTAGCAAGTTCTTTTTAAAGCTCAATGGGATTGATAAATGCTATTCCATTGAATATAAAATTAATTTCATGAGAATTGATACCTTTACAATATCGTCATTATATCCAGTAAATGTCTCCATTTATTTATATAACTTTCAATGTCTTTAATTAAAGCTTGAAAGTTTGTCTTCTTGCATAAGATAATTTTTACATACCTTACGGATTTTGTTGCTGTTGTAAATGGTATCTTAATTTTGATGATATTATATTAGGTACTAGTATAGAACAATTACATTGCTATTTGGAGCTTAATCTCATATCCATAAACTTAATCCCTTTGCCAGTTCAAATAGTTTAGATGTTGTGATTGTTGGATTGTTTTATGTAGGTAGTTATATCACCTGAAAGCAACGATGGTTTTATTTCTCTTCCTAAATCCCTATACTGTATCACTTTTACCTGGGCCAGGAGCCTGAGTACTCTGAAAACAGAAGCGCTAATATAGGGAATCCTTGTCTTTTTTACTGACCTTAGACATAATACATATATAGCTTCTCTATTAGGTATAATATTTGCCACAGATTTTTTTGGAGTATTATTTTAATTAGGTTAAGAAAATTCTTTTCTAATTCTAGTTTGTGAAGAGTTCTTATCACAAATAAGTTTTAAATCTCATGAAATGCTTTTGATACAGGGATTACAATAATCATAAGATTTTTCTTCATTAGTCAAATAATGTGGGTTATTTCACTGTTAGATTTTTATGTTGAATAATATTTACATTCTTAGGTAAAACCCTACTTGATCATTTTTTAAAATACGATA